CTCATTGCACGATACATAATTTGACTAGTGAGTGCAAATTAATCATTTAAGATATTCATAATGAGCGCAATTTGGTTATTTCAGATCACTTAGTGAGATCTAAATGTTGAATGCTAGGGAATGTTGGAAGACAGTATGTTTAAAACTCAGAGAATTCAGCGTAACTTAGCTGGAAAAATAAATAAAATGAAAACTATAACACTCATCTCCTGCCCAAATTATCAGTATAACCAGAAGTTCCATAATTAACAAACTCAATCAATTTAAGGGATTTATCCACAGAAGAGTTGTATCTATGATTGTTAGAAGCTCATGCTATGTTTGTATGTTTGCTTGTTTTGGTTCTCTGTCCTCGACTGGTTTTGCTTAGTTAACCGATACTTTTGGGTTGGTAGACTTGTTTAACTTTGTATATGCTAATGTAAAATTGATTATCGAAAATTACATGTACTGTTTGGACAACCAAAATACCAAACTCGGCACATTTTTTATGAAATTGATGAACCCATTTTTACCCACTCTCGTTCGAAAATCATGTTTTAAGGATTGCTGAATATTTCAATGTTTTTGTTAGGAGTCTAACTTAAATAATTGTATTTTTGGTATTTAGTAGTTTTTAAGAATTAGATTTTTTTATCCTTTTTTTCTTGATTTTAGAGAGTTGAATTTCAGGTTAATTTTTTTTTTTTTTGTTTTTCTAATTGGGGTCATGTTTTATTTTTTATTATAATACATCGATCTATTGTAGAGAGCATAACCATTCATTGATTAATAATAGGTTTAGATTTCTATTACTTGTACTTTGTGGATTCAATATTATTTGTTGTTTAGTCTTAAATGCCCATGCCGGCAATGATGTAGAATAGGTTCCTGATCATTTTGGAGCCCGTGTGGACCGCCAAAAGGCCAAACGGGTGGTTTGACATAGTTTTCTAAAGTAGTTTCAATGAGTCCGTTTTAACCTGACAAGATGACTCTATTCTGATTGGAAATGGTCCAACTCGCAAAACATAGCAGCTTCGTTGATGATGTAAGCTGCTTTACGGCCAAATTTTGTTGTTTGGGGTTCGAAAATTACGTTTTATCACTTTTCAACAAATTTTAGATTTTGTTCGTGGCCTAAATGGATTTGAATTACTTTAATTTTTGGTATTTAGTACTTTATAGTAATTAGGTTTCTTATCTTACTTTTACAGAATTATGAGAGAGAGTTTAATTTTGAGCCATGTCCTTGCGTTTTTAGTTCCTTTTAATGTTAGGTTTTCTTTATTAACAATATGCATATAACACACATGCATCCACTGAAACTTGAAACCCTAACTTTCCTTTAGAAACTAGGGGCTTGGTATCGCTAGGCTACTGGCCTGGTGGTCGCATACGCACAATTTAATTATTGATTAATGATATTTCAAGTTTTCTCTTTGTGCACTTTGTGGATTCAAAGTTATTGCTTGTTCTTTGGGAGCATTTATAGCTTCTACTTCATTAATTGGTATCAGAGCCTTGATTTTACCCTAGTTGGTGGCAATAGATGGTAATGGCAGTGGTGAGGATGATGCCGAAGTGCAAGCCCTTTGGGCAGCCATGCAAAATTAGGAACAATGGTCTGAGCGGATGGACGTATGTTGTAGGATCTCTAGCACACTATCGCTGGACTTGGGATTGGTGGCAACCAAGTCTTCGAACCAGTCCAGGTTGGCGCTGACGATTTTCCTCATGGCCAATCGAGTATGTTTAACATTCATGTACTTCCACATGGGCCTCCACCTTATGCGTGGTATTCCAGTGATGAGGAGTTTGGGCAGTTTGATCAATGTGAATGTGCTAGACAGAATAGAAACCGAAAAGACCTAGACATTCGTGATTACAAGTAATGCTTGTTATACCCAGTTACACTGGACATCTTCACATTGAAGATTTCCTTAATTGGATTATTGATGTCGAACACTTTATCGAGTACAAAAATATACCCGAAGATGAGAAGGTTATCGTAGCTCAAGATGATATGCAGAGAAATTACTTAAATTGGGGAATTTGGTTTTTTGAAGAGCTCATCTTTCTTCTTATGCATGTCTTGCTTCCGTTTTTGGCAATTTATAGAATGCTTCTTTCTTCATCCCCAGCCTGGAATTCCTCATCAGATAGATAAAGCAGCAAATTGAAAATGGAAATTGTGAAGAAAAAAAATGTGGAACAAAAACAAGGCAATACCAAACAGAATAGTGAAGTAGCTGAAAATAGGAAAATCAGCAAAGTAGATACTGCAGATAGCCATATACAAAGTAGTGTCACTATACAATGACAATACAGTGTTGCTGAAAATAGCAAAATCAGCAACAATTGGTGGAACTAATGCATTAACTCAGCAGCAACCATTTCATCGTCTGCAGCCAAAGAATTAACTAAGCATCATCATCACACATAGAGATACATATAAAAAGAACTAAAACTCTCTCAATGAACTAAAAGGCAATAAAATTAAGCATGTGTACAAGGACGAAAATAAAAGAAGCATGCTTTATATTGATAACTGTAGCACAAAATGCTTATTGAACTAAATGAAATAAAATACAGGAACAAGATTTAGAAATGCCTAAAACCCTTCTACGGTGGTGCACTAATAAATAAATAAGGGTGAAAAATGTAAATATAAATAAATTAAATAACCGTATAAGAAAGTAAGTGTAACAACCATCACCCTAGCTCGACATAATATTGTCCGTTTTTGGCTCTTCCAAATCTTAGCTCTTCCGAATCAGAGACTTTATACTTAATTCTAACATCACGATTTTAAAACGCGTTGTATCATAGAAGGGTATTGAATCTAACAACCCTCACCCTAACAAGACACAAAATTGTCCGCTTTTGGTTCCCCCGGACCAGAGACTTCCCACGCCTTAACAAGACACAATATTGTCTGTTTTTGGCTCCCCGGACCAGACTTCCTAGGAGGTGCTTGTATTACTTCAGGTTAAACATGCTTAACTTTGGAGTTCTGGTATATTCACGGCCATTACAGCTTTAAAACGCGTTGTGTCATGAAAGGTGTTGAATCTATATATAACACTTACTCCATCTACACCAAGGAGATGTGGAATTGTGCACCTGTAACTCACCCAGTGTGGTAGCTATTGATACCACCTGAACACGCTCATACACACCCGCCCACAAAGTTGCCATGGAAAATTACATAAGTCTCCAGTCATGTACACATTACTATTTGCTTTATGTGAAACTGCTATAAAACACTCAATCTCTATAAAATTCCCAAATAGAGTTGACCAGCTAATAACCTCAAAATAAAGTATTTTTAAAGACAGACTTGGATGCCCATTGTGGCTGCTGAGATCAACGACTTAAAATCTATGACCAACACACCAGAATTTCCTTTCTTTTTCCTCCCTTTATTTTGGCAATCAACATAGCACGCTTCTCAAGAATATTAATCAATTAATGACCAGATTCTTGCAAAAATTATCACAGTTCACAGATGCTTAAGTTACACTCATTCTGCTCTTGCATTTTGTTAAGGTTTGTGGAGCCTGATCACATGTTGGGATTAGATTGTAAAGAACTTTGTAGCTGTCAAATTTGCCGATTTCGCTGTCTATTTTGGCTACTGGCCAAAATGTACTGGTCCAAGTATTTACGACCGGTGTGTTGCGATATATTACAAAGTTGTTTTGGCTACTGGCTAAAATGGACCAGTCCCGGCCCATTTGGGTTCCGGAACAGTGTTTCGTCAAGATATATCAGTCCAAGTTGCCTGGGAAGGTGCGTGAATTGTTTTCAAGTTGGTTTTTGACACTTTAAAAACGCAAAACTTGGGAGGCAAGTTGTGTTCCTTTGTCTGGACTATGTATATGAACATTAATAAGATTTTAGGGTGAGTGAGATCTTTATTTGATTGAATTGATTTGAGCAATTGATAGAGATTGAGATGAAATTCTCCATTATAATCCTTCATTTTTTCAAAGTAAAATTTGTTCGGTGCGCTTTGTGGACATAGCCCTAAGTTTTGAGTGAACCACGTATATCTTGTGTTAATTGTGTGATTGTCTAGTTTTCTTTTGATTGCTTGTGTGTGTTTTACTCCTCCCACATTGTTGTTTTTTGGATTTCTACTGCAACAACGGTTTTTTTTGTGTTTTCTGCCAACCCACTTACATTCCATGTGTCATGATGTTCATAATTTTTTTAAAAAAAGAATTACGGGAATTGCATTAGTCTATGTGCAGGAGGAAAGAAATTTTAGGACCCTTTTTAGTAGACACCATTAATTTGTCAGCCAAAATTACATATGTATATATATATATATATATATATATATGTATGTATGTATATATATATTAGGCAAACTTGAAGCTTTCAAAGTCGTTGTAAATGATAATTTAAAAGCAAAAGGAGTGCATGGAGGGTCATTTCTTACCTTACATATGAAGTGTTGAAAGAAAAACTGATTGATTATTGGTGGTATACCTTGCGCAAAAATAATGAAATGGAAGTCTGGATCCATTGACAAATTGAAGTTGTTTTCAGTTTTGAACCTGAAAATAAGTACCAGCATTGTAAATCAACATATAAATTCATATATATACATACAAACACGCACATTTAGAGAGAGAAGAAGAGAAAGACCTGCTTTGTTTTGAAGCCAGTGTTATCGTTCTTAAGCTCGGGTTCGAAAGGAAAGATCTGAGCTATTTTAAATTTTAGGTTCGGAACGCTGATCGACATCAAAGAGTCACGTTGATGTGTTGGTGTCGAGAGAGCGATCGAAGGTTTCTATCGGCTTAAAAATTTAACACCAATTCCATACTTTAGTATTTGTAATCTCATGCCATTCTATGGAATTCGAAATTTTGAATTGGGATGTTTGGAATTATAACGGAATTTCAAATTCAGATTAACTTGGAATATTCAAGGTTAAAGCCTTAGATTTGTAATAGGAGTTCCCAATCTGAATTCCAAAATTTCAATACGGTGCGGTCAAACAGATCCTATGATTCTTCTTCACTTATTTCATATTCCTCATCTAATTTAAAGAATTCCTGGACTCGACCCAAATAGGGCATGTTATCCACCTCCTTGCATTCATTTCCTCCTTTAACAGAAACTAGACTTTCCTTGTAGAGGTAAATCTCAAGGCAACGCTGTTGTCCACGTGGTCCAAGGGTTTTAATTTCTTCAGTAATATGATCATGCAAAAGCAAATGTGCAGTGTCAGATTCTAGAAAAAGATCACCGTTCTTCCAAATTCCAAGTGGCCTATGAATTTCTAAAAGAGGCCCAATAGCTAAATGTTTCGTCCAATAATCGTCCTCCTCCATCACCCATGTATAAATATATTTTTCAACCACTCCATAACTTGGATCATAAAGGATCATAGCAATACGGCCATTGTACATGGCAATATCACCCCATAGTGATTTGGAAATATCAGGCGGTACTGGTATCTCTTTAAAGTTCTCAGTGCGAATATCAAATGAAAGCAGCGTATAGATACCAAAATTACTATCGGCCAGCCAATAATAAAATCCATTCATGTACGTGTTACACAAAGAATTATGTATCGAAAGACATTCGGTCATCTCAAAATCAAAGAGTCTCCAAGAATCAGTGCCTAGGGTATACACTGCAACAATTCTGGGATTGTAAGGATATTCTTTTTCGTCGTCCCAATTATAATGCATCCAAATCACCTTGTAATCTTTTGTTATGGGATCCAACCCACATCCAAAATTATGGTAGAAGGGGTTAAAATGGGGCTGAACTTTAAAATCTGGTAGGGTGAGGGTCCTAAATTCTTTTGTGGCTGGATTCCACATAGCCATGCGATGTGGATCCCAACCAGTAAATAGACAAAATATTCCATCGATGGGTCCTATAACAGCCAGTGGAATGCTCGGCATTTGAAGATCATTAATATCGTGATATGAACACGGCACGCTTGAGAGCGTTTCATCAGAGAACAAAGCAAAAACATATTTTTCGATATTATAATTGTGATGCTGAACAAGGAGACCTGAAATGTTGTTAGGATGATGGAGGTGCTTGTTAATGAAACTAGAATTTCGTACGAGAGAGTTCCAATATTTGCAAACACATCCAAATCGAATCAATGATTTTACACGCAGCCTCGAAAGAATTTCAATTGTCACCTCTTTTGATATAAGGCACTTGTCACTATTGCTTGCCATTGTCTCTCGTCTCTCTTTTGACCTGCGTGCTAAACCATTCTTTTTCTCCTAAAGTGACAAAGACATCTGCCAAAAAAGTTACTAAATTCCAATTTTGATACAAATGAATTTCTTGCTCATGACAATACCAAATTTTGAGAAATTATTTGGACTGTTTTTTTTTTTTTTTTTTTTTTTTTTTTGTCAAATTATTTTATTTTATTTTCAGAAATTAGTTTGACTGTTTTGTTCTCATCATTATTACAAAAAAATTTAAAAAAAAAAAAAAAATTGGATATCGAAAAATATGAAAAAGCATTTACAGGATTATCTGAAATATATACATACATACCTGACCATTTGTATACAAATGCAAATGTATGTGTATAAACAACATAAAATAAGAAATTTAGAACCAAATGAAATAAATAAAACAAGATAAATCATGAAGTTATAATGATTCTACCATAATTACAATGGAAAAAGAGAATTTATACAAGATAACAGTTGGGAACAGAGACTAGCTAGATGAGATAAAAGATAATATTTGGAACAAATTTCACCAAACATATGATGGTGACTTCTTATATATATTTATATAGTGAGTTACAATAGTAAGAGAGATATTCTCTCACAAACTGATCATTTGTTAGGAGTTTGTTACAAAGATTATAATATTATATCTAATTCTTTCTTACCATAGACCCTTTGACCTGATTTTATTGTTGAGTCACCATATAGATCAGTAATTTATCTTGAACACTCCCTTTAAGATGATGGTAGAGCAAGGACGAAGCATCAGCTTGTCTCTTAAGACTTGAAACCGGGGTACTGATAGAGCTTTTGTGTAAAAAGTGTATTGTTTGGTCAGCACTTGAAACAAACACAATTTTTAGAGTCATGTAAAACATGTTCGCTTAAGAAGTGATAGTCAATCTCAATATGTTTGGTTCTAGCGAGAAGAATTAGGTTAGAGGCTAAGTATGTAGCGCTGATATTATCATGTAGAACTACAATTAAAGCATTTGACTTCTAAGGAAATTTAGAATAAGCGAAAAGTTGAGAAGGGAACTAAATTACTAACTATATATTGAATGCGAATTGAAATCTTTTTTTTTTTTTTTTTTTTTTCTGCCTAATGTGAATTGAATTCTACCAATGAATGTACGTAAAAATAAATAAAAATTCAAATCTCAATGTCCTTAACTAAGCAATGAAATTTTGCATTTCATTGATTTCAAAACATCTATATGCAAAATTTCCCATATGTTTACAATATAACAACAAAATCAAGCAAAAACCAAGCCAATTCCTTACCTTAGTATCAGATAAATGAGCAGTAGCTTTTTGTTGTCGTATGCTTTTGAAAATTACAAGTCGGTTTATCTTTTAGTGCACTGCAAAAAAAAAATATAAATTCTTTTTAAACAATTTCTACGATATACTTTCTTCAAACAAGAAATGTGGATTTAACTTGGTATGACAAATTCAATCGACCTAGGGAGAAAAAATATATTATTTTGAAGAAGAAAGGAAAAAATCATATGAATTACATCATGGTGTAAAATGGAGAAGTTGAGACCATACCCTGATTAATATGTACTTGCATCATATAATTGGACTAAAGTCCCTTGGTATATGTTTAGAAAAACCTTCAACCTTTTTTTTTTTTCTCAATCAACACAAACTACAGAGACAGAGAAACCATTTTGTTTTCCATAATTGGGTAATACACTTGTGAAATGAAGAAGAAAGAGGAGATTGGACAATAGGGGAAGAAGGGATCTTTAAATTTTGGAAGACATGAGAGTTGGGCATTTCATTTCGAAGGGCAAAATTTGGTCGAAAGGAGAGTTTTGAGGGAGAAAATAAGGGTTGGAAATTGTCTGAACCTCTTAAAGTAATCATGTCCACGACCAACAATTGACGTTTTCTAATCCCTTCATGCCTGCGTGTGCAGGAGTAAACTAGGCTTTTCATTATTAGTAAAAATCCAAATATTCGCCTTTTTCTTATTTATCTTTTCTCAATCTTTGGTGCAGCCATTTTCTTAAGACGAGTTCATTTTATATTGAAAATTCAGCACATAGCGTCAAAAATACAACTCTCATGTACTGATGACGTATACATTCATAAAACACATTTACTCTAAAGATGTAACATTGATATGCGTCAACATTACAAAATTTGTTTCTTTCTTAGTTGGTACTAACACACCCATACTTCCAAGGAGACTCGAACCCCTATTCCTTTTCAAAGTAAGAGTGTGTGTGTTTCTTGTCAAAAACAAAAATAAAAATAAAATAAAAAAGATTACTATAGTGTCTAATTCGAACATTAATATAAAAAAATTGGTTATCTTCCTATAACACTGAAAATATAGGAAAAAATAATTTTGCAAAAAAAAAAAAAGAAAAAAGGCAAATATACATGTATTGATCGTTGCCAATTTTGATCCGCTATTTGCTGGTCGATTCTTTGGATTGTATTGTCAGTTGACCTTTAACTTCGTCAATTGACCTTTGCTGATGGCTTGATTCTCTTCACACATGGTGATCTGCAATCAGTCTCTATTCTCAAGAAGGCTATTGACATGTTCTCTAGTCTCTCTGGTCTCTACATCAATAGAACTAAGAGCACTGTTTTCTTTCCAAATACCGATCCTCTCTCCAAAGCCTCTATTCTGTCTATCCACAGTAAATCACATTAATCATTGTTTATTTTTGTTCTTACTGCTCATTAGCATGTCATTATTATTAGCATTAGCCATTAGCAAGTAATGTAGTTTTTTTTCCCTATATATAGATATATATATATATATAAATTTTTACGGAGGTAATTAATTTATTTTAAATAATCAAAATATTTTTATAGGTGTGGCTATTAGTGATATAAACTCTTCTTAGATTTGTGCCTTGAAAATGCGAATAAATGAGAGAAGTGTGGTGGAAGCCTTAAAAATAGTCGTTGGACAAGATACAGAAAACATTAGCTGAGAAAAGAAAAAAAATGTGGATCATAATTGAAGATATATTAAAAATCAATGGGACTACATGAAGAAGAAATACTATACATGGATAAAAGTAGATTGGAAATACTGGACATGGGAAGAACTGAAGTACATAAAAATGGGATGATTATATAAAGGTAACCTTATCCGGTATTTATATTTTAATTGGGACAATATTTAGATTATATATATTGGGTAAAATTTGATTTTGTAACGCGCAAATCCTGATGCAAAATAATTTTGTTATAACGGGTAACAATATGCTGAAGAGATGAAGGCATTATTTGATGGTATTATAGCAACACAAAAAGCAACATAGGGTCCATCTAGATCCAAATTGCCTCCTATTGACTCTTCACCTTCACAACCAAACATAGGAGATTCACACAAAAATACATATTGACATAGAGTCTGACTCACTTACCATGCCTTATTCTCCAAAGAAAAATCCATTGCCAAAAGCTAAACGTCATAAGAAAATCATGTCTGATGATATCAATAACCAGCTACAAGCATTTCTCAAGACAATGGAAAAATGTGATGGGCCTAGCATAGAAAGAATGTATCACTTTTAGCAGTTTTCTTTCCAATTATATTTTTAATAATTAGATTATTTGATTTATATCACGTACTATATCAAGACTTGTTTTAGTTTTTATATGCAAGTGAATTTTCAATTTTGATTAGTTTTTGCCGATTTATTTATTTATTTGTGTATATTGAAATTCAAAGCTTAGAATTTGTGTTGATTTTAACTAGAGATGGAAATGTCTAAGTAATTTTTACTTTGATTTATAAGATATGAAAATAGATGATTGCACTAGTTATTCTTTTATACTGTTGCTTGCTAAAAATTATTAAAGTTATTATTTAATAATAAAAATATTTTTGTTGGGTTAATAGAATGGTAAGGGATGAACAAATCAATGTTTTAAAGAAAGTTGTCTTTCTTCTTTTAATGAAGAAATTAAAGAGGAAGAATATTAGAAGATGGACAAATACTGATTCTTCCCTCAATGGAGCTCGGTATTTAAAAGAAATTCTTGAAGGAAACCAAGCTCATTGTCATGAAATGTTAAGAATGGAGAAGGATGATTTTTTAATTTGTGTATTCATTTAAAAAAAAAAAGATGGTTTAAAAAGAGCAATGTGTGAGTTGTACGCAGCGGAATATTTAGAAAGTTTTGTATTTTTAGAAATAGATCTGTATCTTTCCAACATTTCTTATTTTAGCAATTAAACAATTAATCTCATTAAAGATAAAATAAAACAAAGTAAAGAGTTAGAGATGACACCAGAATTTTTAACGAGGAAACACCAGTTGATAAAATACGTCAAATGTTTGTGCGAGAAAACTTCATGGACTGTGCAGTCTAAAGTAAACCAATCCACTATGTATGAAACAAAGTACACTGGCCTTTGAATTTGGCTCATACCCTATCGTTTTATCAAATACCAATAGCTGACAATTCTCTGGCTTTACGACGTCCCGTCCAACAGCAACTTGACCTCAGGCTTGTGCTTAATCTTTGTAGAAGGATAACAAGTAAATCAAAGAATACTCTATGAATGCTTTGACCCTTTCAAAGCGTGATCGCTTTTACTTCTATTTTTCAATATCTGAATTCGATGTAGAAGTAGATCTGTTTTTCTTTGATCGTTGTAGATGCAAAACTTTGATCACGATCAGGATTTGAACAACACTCTAAACTCACTATGTGTCATGTGTATGTTCTAGAAAGACTGACAGAGAAATCTCTTGGATTTTCCGTAAAAAAAAATGTCCTATGTATAAATTTTCCTTTATTTTCAAAAGGATTAGGTCTTTGAAAATTCTATAAAAATCTTGAAACTGATTAAGATAAAGTTACCTTAAACTGTATTAGTAGTGGTACCGGTAGCCAGATGTGGAACCGGTTCCCATTGGACATATAGATTTCTTCGAATCTAAGTTTTTTGAACCAGTTCCCAAATGTGGTACGGGTTCCCACTTGACAGAATTCAATCAGAA